CTTCAAAATCCACAAAATCTCAATGGAAATCTCCAATTCCTAAAGGAAATCTGCATCCAAAGACCTTCAAAATCCCAATAAATATTTTGCTGCCACTGGAAATCTGCATCCAAAGATCTAAAAAATCAGAAAGCCAGAGAGCAAAAATAACAATATATAACAATGAAAAAATCACAAAAAAACCCATCCCTCCCAAAAAAAGACATTATTCTGGGGGCCTTTATTAATCAATGTCTCACGCTCACTCTTTTCACGCCAAGTCTGGCAGGTGCTCTGTTCAACACCAGCTTTGCTTTTTGCTGAAGTGTTGTTTTCAAAAGTCTCCATGCAACAAGCCGGGTGGGAGACTAAAGGGAGGGTGCGCTTGAGGTGTAGGAGACACACATTCGACATTACAAGACAATGTCTCACGCTCACTCTTTTCACGCCAAGTCTGGCAGGTGCTCTGTTCAACACCAGCTTTGCTTTTTGCTGAAGTGTTGTTTTCAAAAGTCTCCACTTTTCCCCACCTCCCGTCTTCACCACAAGTTCGGCCACGCCCTATCTGGGATGTGGGCGTCAAGAAAAAAGACAGCTTTCTCCAGGATCGTTGGGAACGCATCTGAGAGCTCCGTGATGCGGCCATAGGTCCTTTTTGACATCTTCTGCTGAAAGGTGGACACGGAAGCTTCTTGGATGTAGATCTCAAGGACCCTGGAGCTAAGCCATCTTCCTTTTCTCCTCACCAGCTCTGAGTCCTCCGTCTGCTGGAGGAGGAAAGTCGCTCCGCCTGGCCTCAAAGAGGCTAAGTCGTAAGGTGAGCTGCTGGGCGTCCTCGAAACATTTAGCCCAACAGCTTGTTGGAGCGTGACGAAGCGCCGCCTCAACGTGGCAGGTGACCAAGGCCATAGAGGCGCTGCAGCGTCAAGCTTCCTGAAGACTGCGGAGATGAGGGTGACCATATCCTGATATTCGATGCGAGCGGCTTGATGCCGGGCAGATCGCCCCCTGGTCTTCGGCTCTTGTATTCGAAGAAGGATGCCTGAAGTCCCGGGCGCTGCGTCGCACGGGAGCACCAGGTCACCTCTCTTTGCGGCAAAGATTTCTCCTACGCGGAGAATCCCTGCCCAAGCCATGCCAAGGATGGCCGCCTCACGCGGCCAGCCCCATAGCAGCGCAAGGCTGCACAGCGCCAGCAGCACTGAAACCGGCATGGCCGGATGATGTTGTCTCGGCTCCCCCGAGACCCAGTTGAATGCCAGGTCCCATGCTGCCGCCAACTGGCGCCGAAGTGCTGGTCGTTTCTGGGCAACAGCGTTAACTGTCTCAGCAAAGTTCCCGTAGGGGAAGCCAGCAAAAAACATCTCCTTGCCATAGGCGATGAGCGCCTCGCACACTTCTTCTGGGTCCAGTGGCTGGGCCTCCACTAACTCATGCAGTGTAGTGCGGAGGTTTTCCGCCAGCCAAACATCAAATTCCGACAATCTCTTGTCCCGCTGCAAGCGGGTAGTTTGCTTCACAACTCGATCGGCTTGGAGACTCCAGCCTTCCCGGGCTCTTGCCCGCGTTTTGTCTTCCGCTCCACGCGGAATCAACGGCATGCCATGAACGCCCCACGCGCGCGCGCGACCCAAACAGCTGCGGGCATGAGGCCACGGTGATTCATTCCCAAAACCAAAATCTTGGGGGGAGGTGTCCATGGAAGCGCTGAGGAGGATTGAGATGAGGCCCAGACGTGCCAAGTGACCCCTGGAACGTAGGAGCAGGCTCAAAGTCAAAATCCATGCCAAGATGTGAAGCAATGAGGAGCCCGTGATCAGGGCAGCTCGACCGATGGAAGTGCATGACTGGAGGAGAGCCTTGCAGGCCATGCAGCCAAGTGAGCAAACTTGATCATTCCCCAAAACTGACTGTGCACCGACACCAGGGCAAAGCACCCAAACGACCAAGATGTATAGCCGCAACCAACTTGCCGTAGGCCTTGAGAACTGATGAGAGTGAACAGTAGCAATTTGGGAGGTTGACAAGAAGTCCAAGATTGAATGCTCAGCTGGAGTTGGTAGATCACGATCTCGAGTCGGTGCATCGGCAGTGTTCAGCCTGGTAGGGGCAAAGCCAAATGCAGGGTGCAAGTTAGCTGCAACTGTAATGGCACACGCTTTCCTGAGGGACTTCTTCAAGGTCCTTGCCGAGGATCTTCCCTTTGCATGAGCTCCTTTTGCAACTCTGCTGTCTAGGAGGGCAACAAACCGGCAGGAACCTCCACGGATAGCTAAGCGGTGAAGCAACCCAATGTAGGCATGACTCTCCAAGACATTTATGTGACTCGGGCTCTTCCAACTCCATGAGAAGAGAGTCTGCCATCTTGCAGCCTGCAGGAGGTCATTTATCACAACTGACTCAATTCCAGCAGCACCTCCTTCTCCTCGATGCTGACCTGCCCTGAGAGCCGCCACCACCTGCACTGCCAGATGTGATGCAACTCCTGGAGCATAGATGGCACTCTTTTTGGTGTATGCCCCCTCAATGCGGACATGATGATGTCCTCCTGAACATCTGACCTCAAAGTCCTCTGCATTGAAGCCCGTCAGGAGGAAACGAAACTCCTTTCGGTGAATGCTTCCCAGCATGCAGCTTGCGACGACTGCCTCCTGCAAACCAAGTCTCAACAGCCACTTCCAACCAGCAAGCCAAGCCATCTTGCTCAGCCTAGGTTGTTCCAGGAAAGCAGGGGTGGAGCATCTGAAGCACATCCACATGATTGTGAGGCAGCGAAGCGCAAGGGTAGTTCCTGTCAGCGTCTTTGGATCTGTCCTGTTGAAGCCCAAGGGCTGGTCGTACGACCTCGATGCTGGATGCTGTGCAGGGGAGAAAGTAGTGCAGGGCGGTTCACACCCTAGTGACCTGAATCTCTTCTCTTGCACCATCTGTAGCACCCAATCAAGGAGCTTTACCTCTCTGAGGTCAAAGTGTTCACTGGCAGTGAGGTCTATTGGGGTGCAGACAGATAAGCCTCTCTTGGCAAGCTCCGTGGACAAAACTCCTGAGCCTCCACAAATCTCGACAAAATCAAAGGCAAAGTCCAGGACCTTCTTTGGTGATGGCAGTTGCCCTTCAAGGGCAATCTTCTCCTCTTCTTCTGTGGGGACCCCGAGTTGACGAAGAGCCAAAGCAGGTCCCTGGTCAAGCAAAGTATAGGCACCCTTTCGATCGCCACCCAGCCATAGCAACTCAGAGATGTTTTCAGGCACTTTGCAAGAGGTGACCGCTCCCTTGTTGAGCGAGGCGTCGGTGGCATAGATCCTTTGGTCGTATGGCACTGACACGTCGGTAACCGCCAAGAGGCCACCAATGCTAGCCAAGACAAGCTCCTCGGCGACAGCTCTGCTCAAGGTAACTACATCGTTTGCCGGCCGCTTTGAAGAGGTACCAAGGCTAAACAACTTGTCAATCGTGCAAGTCAGGCACCTCCTGAACATAAGCAAAGAAATCCATTGCCCTGCCAATCGTGAAGCGAGCCCACGAGTGATGACGGGCATGTTGGCGATCTTGAGGGACAGGAAGCTAGTAGCAATCCTCTTTGCATGATGTGCCCCGACTCCAACAACTCCGGCCGAAAGCGCCCTGTTATCTGAGGTAACCTCGGCACCGACAGCTTTGAAGCAATCTTCTCCTCTGACGGTCTTATCATCTGACCCCAGCACCCCTGCCTTCTGGTATATGTCTTCAGCAACCTTAAGCCTCTTCTCTGCAATGGAAGCCCCCTTCTTGCAGGATGCCGCTTCTCTGGAGATGATCACGTAGTCATCAATAACAATGATTTCCCAGCAAGGCCCAGGAGGGAAAGGCTGGTGTCGAAGGACCTGGGAGTCTTGCTTCAACAAACCTCCCCAACGTAGGAGGTTCGTGTGGCTAACCAGTGCGTACTCAACTCCGAGGTGATCACCTTGAAAAAGACTACTGAAGCCAGCATAGACCTTCTGGGGAGAGGGGTGCACCAGAAGTGAAGGCTTCGTCTCCCAGCCCAACCGGTCACCATGAGCCTCTCTATCATAGGGCCTCGACAGGACTTGCTGAAGCTCACAAAGTTCTCGAGAACCAAAGAAGCTCTCAACAGGGAAGGCGAAAGGCAGCTGATTCGACCAAGCTCTGGCCCTGGTGACCTTTGCCTGGTGATAGAAGTCTCTCCGGTCCGTGACGCAGCCGATGAGCTTCTTTCCTTTTGGGCAATGTATGGAAGTGAGGTTCACTCCAGCTGGAAGGAAAGCCGAAGGTCCAGTGGGTGTAATTCAGCTCCATTTCCCCATCGCCGGTCACCTATTTGTCTGTCTACCTCGCTGTTCTTGAAGGCATTGAACACCCTGGCAAAATGGTCACAGGGAGCATCAAACAGGGAGAGGAGACCTTGGGCACTCCAGATCTTTGCCAACTTCAGATTCTCCTCCTTGGATTCTCTAGAGAAGTCAGGCCCCTGCCAATCTATGGGTCCTCCGTGTCTAAGGATCTTCGGCTCAACAAACGGCAGCCAAAGGATGTCATCCAGGTAGTCTGCCATGGGCCAGTCACCTCGACCTGTCAACTTCAGTCGGCCGGCATTTAGGCTCCGATACGGGTCAACGGGGGAGAACTCTGCATGAGGATTGAAAAGATCCTTCTTCTTGATTTCTCCTTGTTTGTCGATGCCTTCATGGAACTCACCACCATAGCCCCCAAGATCAAAAAGAGGGCTGGAATGGACAAAATTGGATAGCTCAATGAGTCGAGCCATGAATTCAGGACCAGACCTTCCAGGAGGTAGCGGATGCTCACCAGGAAGATCACACACGGAGATTAGCGCACCAAGATGTTGATGTATTTGCATCTGAGTAAGGCTTGGTCGCCTCCCAAGGCTCCTGTAATCAAAAGCAGCCCCATCATGGTAGATGTAGTTGAGGAAGACTATGAAAATATGCAGCAATCTCTTGCGACAAATCTTCCACCAGCTGGCCGCACTGAGTCTTGAGGAATCCTGTGCCCCAAAGACGCCAAAGTCTTTGAGAGGCAGCGGAAACACCGTGGAGCAAGGATGATCACCATTGTAGTCGACGTGAAAAGACTTGACCAAGGCTGCAGAGAATCTTGTTCGACTCCTCACGATCAGTCTTGGCATGGCAGCAACAAGCCGCCGGAACGATATAGTGGACTTCAGCGAGTCCTCCGTGAAGCGCTGGTCTGGGTGACCTTCGCCAGGCCCAGCTCCAGAGACACCGCTCTGGTTATAGTCATCTCCCTTGGAAGTGTTCCAGGGGAGCCTATCCCTGAGCTCACCAGTCCCGCAGGAAGCAGGCCCGTTACCAGGCCGCTCTGACGTAGGAGAACGCGGTGCCGGTGAGCCCCTGGATCTGCTCACTCCTGGTCTTCCTCTATGGACTTCTTCGCCTTTCCCCTTCCCTTGGCCTTCTTCTTGGCCATGGGATCGTTGGACGGAGGGGGGATTGGCTTGTCCTTCGTCACCTCTGCCCTGCGGGTTTGGATCGTGTCGAGCTCCTTTAAATACTGCAGAGCAACTGTGACCCACTTCTGATCGGCTGTGGCCGCAAATGCCCTCTGTCGGGCTATGGCGGTAAATGACCTGTTGCTGAAGAGACCTTGCGGAGGGTCCTCGATCAACGCTAGCAACACAGCAACGTCCATCTTCCCATTGTCGAGGACCATCTGTTCCAGGAAAACGAACAGGAGGGCCATGATGTCCTTTGCAGCCAGAGTGTTGTCCTGTTGCAGGAAATCTAAAGCCATTGCCAGCTGCCAAATGATGAAACCCAACTCCCGGTGCCGACCAAAACCTCCAAACCTCTCCAGGTACCGAGTTGCACATATTTCCTTGGCATGAAGCTCGCCTGGGGAGGCATCGGCCGACGAAGTAGGGCTCATTCTCCTCGACATCTGTTGCAACACACTTGTAAAGAAAAGCCCCTTCTGACTGGCTAGCTCCTGTTGTAGCTTTGCTCTGCCCAATGCCCCCTTGCTGGAGATCCCTCCTGTGCTCGAAGCAAGCTCTCCCAGCGGGTCGGAAGACGATGAAGCAATCTGACCAACCAGTGTAGTTAGAGCCTTGCTCTGTTCCAGGACAGCTCTGGCCAAATCGCTTGAAGGCTCCATGCTCAACAGATCTTTCTCCGCCTCCTTTGCTTCTGCCTCCAACAATGCGGCAGTGCCCTTCGGCTGGCTCTTCAAGGGAGTAGATGTACTTCGCGGTGGCGGCATGTCGTGAAGGAAAGAGCTCAAAGGCCGTGTGCTGGACAAGCCACTGGTAGCTAACTGTGCCAAAGGCTTTCTCAAGGCAGATGGCCTGCCTGGATTGACCTGAGCTGCCTCGATTGATGAAGTCCTCTCCGAGAGCTCCTGAATCTGGGCAGTTAAAGTAGGGAGCACCGCTGTGATCTGTTCGAGAGACTCTGCAAGTTTGGCCACTGTTGGCCTCTTTGGCTTCTCTGAGGGCCCTGCGCTTTTGTCTGCGGCGGAAGTAGTGGCCTGGCTCTTTCTTTTGGAGCTTGTGCCCTCTGCTGGAATCAACTCCACTTCCTCCTCCCCCGCTGAGTAGAACTGGACTCTTTTTGACAAATCCTGCCCTAGGGTCCAACCCACTGCGGCAGCGATGAGGTCCTCGGGAAGAGGTATCATGTCGGGCTCCTGAATAGAGAACGTGTTGGCGTCCTTGAGTTCCTCCAAGGAGTTGAGCTCCCAAAGATGCGGAACGATCTCTTGTGAAAAGTCGACCATCAACACGTCGACTCGATGATCTGGCACTGCCATAGGGTCCAGGGTGACATTGTCTGGATTCAAAAGGGCTCCAGCCAGTTCCACCGTCATTGATGGTCCCAAAAGGTCCTCCAAGGCACCTGTCTGAGCCGTCTCCAGAAGGCTGGGTTGCACTGAATTGCTCGGCAAGGCAAACAAAAGGCCTGGCTGAGGTGACGGTCTCTTCATGACCAAAATACCCAACACCATCTCCTCTCCACCCAGATCCGCACCATTCGGCGAAAGGTCCAGGACATAAGGTCTGAGCCCCACCGGTTCCGTTTCTGAATGTAGAGCCACCACCTGCTCCATCTCTTGCAGATCTAGGCCGAGGGGTAGTCCCGGCCTGCACCAGCAAAGTAGGCCCTGGCCTCAGCTTCCGATGGGAATCCGTGGCACAAAGTCTCAGAGCCCTCAAGGTTCCCAACTGCGGAGAAGAAATCACGAGAGGTGGTGTAGATCCTCGGTGAGGAAATGAGCGGACTCCTGAGGACCGCGTAGATGCGGTTGGGGAGGTCGATAGTAGGGGTCCTGTTTGGCGAAGAGACCCTGCCTGCAGCAGTCGCTGCAGCCCACTTTCCGGCTGTCCAGGCCCGCTTAATCCTCTCTGCTGGAGTAGCTCGCCCGGATGATGTAGTGAGGCGAGAAGCCAAAGCAAGCACCACAGAAGGGCAATCACCAAAGGTGTCCGCAATCTGAGCCCGAGTCTCGTAGGAGGTGGACTCCCTAAGGGGTCTGGTGCTCGGCCGAGCCGGCGGTGATGAGCTGTATGCTGAGGACGGCCCAGAAGGGCGCAATGGAGTGCCCGGAGCAACCTCAGATGCAGTAAGATCTCGAACGAAGTCCGCAGCCTCTGTAGCGGGTCCACGAACTGTGATCTGAAGGCCTCGAAAGGCAATGGCCAGGTCAATCGTCTCGCTGCCGGTGCTTTGAGATTGCTGCCCGTCCATGCACGTATGCCCTCAACCGGGCAGCCGGAGGATCCAGGAAGGCCGCTGGCGGTGATGATGCCGAAGTCCAAATGGGGAAGCAAAACCAGGCGCCAACTAGAATGGCGAGGAGCAGGCCGAGAGAGGTGCCCAGGAGGAACACCGTGAGGATCAAGGGTAGGCTAGGCTGTCCACAATGTGATGGGCAACCTAATCCCCACCAGTTGGTGGCCGCGCCGGACACCAAGACTTGAAATCCCTTTATCACCGTGTCCATGCGCTTGAGGTGTAGGAGACACACATTCGACATTACAAGACAGTGCAGGAAAAAAAGTCATTATTGTGGGGATCTTTATTAATCAAAGGTCAACATTACTAGGGGCTGGCCTTACTACTAAGAGCAAGGACGCTACTAGGGGCTGGCCTTACTATTAGGAGCAAGGACGCTACTAACTAGCGGCTCCTGGCCTTACTGCAAGGATGCTACTAGGGGCTCCTGGCCTTACTACTAGGAACAAGAAGCTACTAATCAGTTGAGTCAAGGAACTTGAAAGGCGACTTGCCGCGTTTCCCAGCGACACCCGAGTTTCACAAAGGCCAAAGAAAACGCCCATGTACTCGGCCAAGAACTGGCAAAACCGGCAAAGGCAAAGGCAAGCGGCTTCACACCCACTCTTCCGAAACTTCTTCCCCGTCACATTATGTACCGCAGTCCTCCGCACAAAAAGACTTTCTTCGTGTCCCTCAATTATCACAGTATGAGCCTCTCCATTCCGCGGTGGACTGTGAGGAGCGCTCGCAGGGCTCAATTCCCCCTGGAGCTCCAGCAGCACAAGCTGCAAACGTATCGAACGAAGACTTACCAACTGCAAGCGACATTCGACGAAAAACTCCAACCAGTGACGCTGCTGTTAGATCGGAATGATCAATTTTTGCGTTTCGACCCACTTGGCGGGCGGAATTCGCCCCACCGTAGAATATATAGAATTTATGTACAAAGGTGAGACTGAAAGCCCAAGTGGCAAACGTAGGTTCAGCATGCACAAGGGAAGGCTCATTCAAATCTTAGACTCTGTGAGCTAGAGGTGCGGCGGCCTTGTTTATGCAATTGCTCAAATTGTCAACATGCAGTGGCAAACCACATGGCCAATAGGTCTTACAGAATATGCTGGTCTACAAGTGCCATGGCGCGGGCTTAAAGCTGTATTATATTCTACTTTGAGCTGCGGGGCACCACTTCATTATCTTCATCACTATTTGGACTTGACTTGTTTTACTTGGACTTGATGTGGAAAGGTGTCCGTGAATGATCGTTGAGACGCTCCTGTGGTAGCTTTTTGCGATACACAGCATTTCTCAAATACCTATTATTTACACATACGTATGCGCACACATTAAAGTGTGCAGTTTTGCATAGATATGCATAGACCTGGAGCTTAGGTGAGCCTCGATCAGTCAGCACAAATGCCCTCTTGCAATTTGCAATGAAAGATTATGAGCAGTGGTGCTCATGCACAAACTATTTTCTTGAATTTTTACAAGTCTGGTAGCCTTCTCTTCTGCATCAAATGCTAGTCAGCGAATGCCCTTCACGGTTTGAAGCCAATCAGGGACTTGTCCTAACAAAGGGAAACACTTTGCCAGAACCAGCGGGGGAATGGCTGTGGAAAACGCTCGCTACATATCATAGTGTGATGCTATTATCTGCGACCTGTGCAGGAAATGGAGACCTATGTCAAGAGAAGTGGCTCCTGGAGGGCTTTGAGTTCACGTCGCATCTCTTCTTCATTTGCTTTCAGCTCCTCAGGATTGAATCATCATTAACAAGTCTGGTGGCTTTCTGCCATGAAGGAAGCTTCGCATAAGTTCAAATCAAACATCACCGAACCGAGCCCGGCCTCGGTCTTTGGCAAAGCAGCGCTAATTTCTTCCTTGATTTCCTCAAATGAGCTCAATCTCACTGCGCCTAAATATTTCACTGCCTATTGAGATCCTATTGAGATGAAATAGCAATGTCGAAAACCAATATAATATCATGGTGTATCGGCGAAAAAACAAAACAGCAAACATGTACAAAACATAGGAGAATCGTTCAGGCGAGTGAACATTAACCTCAAATTTGATAGAGTTTGCCACAGGAAATAACATCTCCAACTGTTGCTACAGGAGTGCGCCCCATGTTGAAGAAACTTGTTCTGATATGTTCTAATCAACCAATCGCTCTTGTACGATAGCTCAACTCAAGTCCCTTCATTCGATAGCTGTCTCCGAAGGATTGCCCCATGCTGAAACCAAATGTCAAAAAGGGATCCCCCAAACTCCATTGTCAGATTCCTGATCCCACTGTCGTCTCCTTTCCTAGGACTCAATGGTGAACTATTTTATTCTTTGTGATCTGTGTGTTGCATTCTTTTTGGGAGGGGGTGATTGATGTAAATACGTGACGTGATATAACATGACATGGAACATTTATATATACAGTATGGCTAGACATGTGCAATTGTACTGAAACCAAACGGATCAGAATTCAAAGAACGTCAAACATCCTCGCGGCATCAGTGAGCCCTGCTGGCGGTTGCCAACCTTTTCAACAAACAACTTGTGGACGGTTTGCGGAGGTTGGTCACGTGAGTTTGCTGCCACATGCCGGTCCATAGCGGTCGCATGTTCGCGTTCACATGCTATAGTTGTAGTTGTCGCCGTGGTCACGTTCTTAGATTCATCCTTGGAAAGTGGAGGTCCTTCTCTGACAGTCCAAAATTTTTTATTAGAGATGATTTGGTGGGCGTTCTTTGGGGAAATAATGACTGAAATGGTGTCTACAAAACGGGTAATTAGGCGGGCAAGGGGTAAGATCTCCATAAAATGTAGTGTTGACCGAACATGCCAAACCAAATGGCACTCTAGTTTCCTTTAGGGATCGACAAGTGCAGCCCCTACAAAAATTGTTGTCGAAATGAATGAGACGAAATAGTGCAAGATCACGCGAGAACCAAATGTGAATGTTTCTTGTTTTTCCCCAAGCAGTGTGGTCACGGTCACACAGGGGTTCTTACGGCAATGGTGTGCAATGGCTAAGGCCGGGTGTCTGATCGAGGTGCTCCATCCGGGTGCGCGTCTAACTCACTGCTATTTACAGTGGGTTCATTCACCTCGAGATCTCCGAAGTGCATTGTCTTGTCAAGGTTGCGGGACGTAAGTCTTGATGTGCAGATATCGTGGCAGGTGCAGTGCTTTGTGAACCTTGAAGTGCAGATTGCGTGGCAGGCCCAGCCCTTTGTGATCCTGAAAAATGCAGATTTCGTGGCATGCGCAGCATTTTGTGATCCTGAAAAATGCAAATTCCGTGGCGCCCGCAGCGCTTTATGAACCTCGAAGTGCAGATTCCGTGGCAGGCGCAGTCCTTTGTGATCCTGAAAAATGCAGATTTCGTGGCATGCGCAGCATTTTGTGATCCTGAAAAATGCAGATTTCGTGGCACGCGCAGCATTTTGTGATCTTGAAAAAATGCAGATTTCGTGGCATGCGCAGCATTTTGATGCATTTAACCGCATTTCGTTAGTCCGGTCTGAGCCCGAGAGTAGGCCCCGCCGGTGGGGCCCGTGGAGCCCGCGGGGTCTGTGCCAGAGCCCGTGAGGCTGTTGTGTCGGGCCCGTGGGCCCCGTCCGTGACGCAGTTGAGCCTCATACGGTGCGCTGCCATTAACATGGAGTGAGCGAGCGGGTACAAGCGTTTGATTTTGGGTGAGAGATCAAAAAGTATTTAACGTATCAAAAAAGATAAATACTGACTCAAAAAATATTCCAACTAGCAGTAGCAGTAAGAGTAGCAACAGTACTGTAATAGCAGCAGTATCGTAGTGGTAGTCGTAGTGTTTCGTGGCAGGTGTAGTACTTTGTGGCCCTTGGAGTGCAGATTTCGTGGCAGGCGCAGGATTTTGCCGACCTTGAAGTGCAGATTTCGTGGCAGGTGCAGGACTTTGTGAATGTGGAAGTGCAGAATTGGTGGCCGGTGCAGGACTTTGTGGGCCTTGGAGTGCAGATTTCGTGGCAAGCGCAGGACTTTTTGATGTGGAAGTGCAGAGTTGGTGGCAGGTGCATGACTTTGTCGGCCTTGGAGTGCAGATTTGGTGGCAGGCGCAAGACTTTGTGGACCTTGAAGTGCAGATTTCGTGGCAGGTGTAGTACTTTGTGGATGTTGAACTGCAGATAGACAGATAGAAAGATAAATGGATCGATAGATAGATAGATAGATAGATAGACAGATAGATAGATAGATAGATAGGCATATTTGCTTGGTTAGAAAATTTTGCACCGGGGAGTTCACCTTAAAATATTGATTTCGTGGCAGGCGCGGGTGTCGGGGATGAAGTGCAGATTTCGTCAGCACACCAGATCCAAAGGTGAGCAGCTCGTGCTTGCTTGCTTGCTTGCTTGCTTGCTTCCTTGTTTGGTTTCGTCTCTGCAAAGCGAACAAAAGGAAAAGCAAAAAAGAGAAAGGAGAACAGCTGCGAAAAAGAAAGAAAGAAAGAAAGAAAGAAAGAAAGAAAGAAAGAAAGAAAGAAGAAAAAACGAAGGACCAGAGGACCAAGGGACTAGCGGACCAGTGGACCAGCGGACTGCAGGGGACCAGCGGACCAGGACCAGCGGACCAAAGGACCAGCGGACCAGAGGACCAGAGGACCAGGGGACCAGCGGACCAAAGGACCGGCCACCTACACGATTGGGAATTCCAAGGGATTTCATCGCACAACGCATATTTTTTTATTGATTCAGTAAGTATTTATGTTTTGATTCGGTAAATAGTTTGTTTGATTCGATAACTATTTCTTTTGATACCTGTGCCTTTGATTTTTGTGGACATACATATAGAAATTTTTAGATAACTGTTTGGAACAAAAATCATGGCTTGGATACGTTTGAAGCTGCGGCATCTGGCACATGTCCAGCCAGCCCAAAGACTTTGGCAAAATAGAAACCGTGAACCATATCTGTACACACAGAACCTCCAAACCATCTGACCATCAGTAAGGTGTGTGTTGCTTCAGACCCTACACAATATAACCTCTCACCGCAAGCACAACCACAGCCATTCCCGTGGCCGCAGCGTTCTCGCGTCGATTCGCATTCTTGTGTCCTATCAAAGTCTTTTTCGTTCACTAGAGTTCTACTACAAAGGAAGTTCGAACATGCTGAAGTTCTTCCATTGGAGCATATATATGTTGACTTTGCACAGGAGCTCCATTCGTGTCTCGCAGGGACCATCGTTGCCTCAAGCGGTGAAAAGGATGCGCCCGGTTGTCTTGGATAGGATTCCAGCTACCTCTGTTGAATCAACATTGGTAGCGGAGCCTCGGTCATAGGAGCCTCGGTCATAGGACCGGGGCTCCACGTAGGATCGTTGAGCTTTTTCGCGCAGGAGCGCCATGGCTGGTGCATCATCCTCCTCGGATGGAGGATATCGAATTTTCGATGGTGAACAGGAAGACTCCAGGGAGTACAAACGCTGGAAGGTCTGGGTGACCAATAAGCTTCTGACGATTGCTGACAAGGTTCCCCTACATATACACCCTGCTGCAAGGCAAAGCATTGGAATGTGTTGAGCACCTGGATCCATCTGACTATCAAAAGGATGGAGGAGACCTTGTGTTGTTCAATTTGTTGGGTGCTCGCTTCCCGGCCAAGGAAGCTTCGGATGAGATGAGCGAGATCATGACCGCCGTCTTCAACCTGCGAGCTGCTGAAGGGGAGACCTTGAAGACTTGGGTCTCGAGGGCATCGGAGCTCTTCGACCGATGCCAAAGGAAGACGAATGTCTCCTTCCCGGAGGAGGCCAGAGGCTGGATCATACTCCATAGATCGGGTTTGAATGATGAGCAGAAGGCAGTCTGCCTAGCCCGGTCGCTTGGAGTGTTGAAGCGAGAGGAGATCGCCAAGGCCATGAGATCGTGCTATGCCGAGTTCGTGACCCCTCGAAGGAAGTCCTATGCTGCTGGTCTGATTGAGACCGATCGAGGAGAGCTCACAGCTGACCATGAAGAGCACGACGAGGCCATGCAAGAAGTGGAACAGTTTTTGGCTGAGCATCAACTCGCAGAAGAAGGAGAAGAACCTGGAGACGATGAACACTACGATGAATCGGAGGTCGCGGAGGCTCTTGCCGTGACCTGGCGTGACAAGAGGAAAGAGTTGAATCGTCTTCAGAAAGAACGGAAGTTCAAACAGGCTGGTGAGGTCAAGAGAAGCTTCCAAATCGAGGTCTCCGAGCTGAAGAAGAAGACACGGTGTCACCGATGTCAACAGATCGGACATTGGGCACGAGATTGCCACTTACCACCACCTCCCAAAGGAAAAGGGAAAGGCAAGTCCAGAACACCCTTGCCGCCTACGGGAGCTGCTGTGGTCGAACACGTGCCTGAGTATTTCATCGCAACTGTCATGCCTCTTTGGCCCACATTGACCCGCCTGCGAGACCAAAAGAACCGGGATCGTGGACTCCCGATTGACAGTTCCACCAAGCACAAGGACATCGACAACAGTGCATTGTTGGTTCATGGTGACATTGAGCAAGTTGACAACAGTACATTGTTTTCAAAGCATGTTGACATTGAGCAAGTTGCTGTTGAACAAGTTGACATTGAGCAATCACAAGAAGCGTTGTTGGTCAGTTCCCCGGGTTTTGGGGTTTTGGATTCGGGCTGTGGTCGTTCGATCATTGGAGAACGAACCCTCCAGTCTTTCGAGCAACTGTGGAGGGACCGAAACCAGACGATCCCCAGCCGCATTGCCGAGAAGAATCTCTTCAAATATGGCAACGGAGAGCAAGAAGTGTCACAGCAAGCTGTTCAAGTGCCTGTCGTCCTGGGAGGACGAATGGGCTCTATCCGAGCTGCTATTGTGAAAGGAGACGCACCGCTCCTGATCTCCAGAGCGGCCCTCCAGAAGCTGAATGCTGTGATCAACTTCTCGGATAGCACCATGACGCTGTTCACCGATCAACGGAAGATCCCCCTGCAGACCAATGAAGCTGGTCAGTTCGTGGTGCGCCTGATCGATGATAGCGCACCCATCACTGACCAACCGTAAGAGTTCCAGGAAGTCATGCTGGCTGATGAACAGGCAGTTCAATCCACAGAGTCCGCCAAGGCCTCCATGTCCATGCCTGAGCCTGCCGATGAGCTTCCACTGGACACTCGCCAAGTGGATGAGATGAAAGCGCCTGTCCGAGACTCGTCAAAATATCAAACCTGGTCCAGGGAAGATTCCTTTTTGACACATGTGCCTAAACTCGGTAAACAAGGACCAAACTGGGACACGGTAGTACACAGACGTGTTTTCGACAGAGGATCAAACCGGGTGCTTTTCGATGAGCCCATCAATCCACAGAAAGGGAAACAAGCCTATGCCAGAGAAATCCCAAAAGAAGTTCTGCATATTCGCACCGAGTACATGTTTCGCCCTCAGGAAGTGAACAGGCCTCTGGAATCCCTGAGCGTGCACCAAGTGAGACAAGTGAGCTCACAAATTCGAAACTCGACTCGGCAACCCAACAGTAAGATTCAGGGTAAGCGATTCATGGTGGCAGAAGTTTTCAATCCTCCTCGTTTTGCACCCTTTGTCCAAGAAGTAGGAGGAGTTTGTCGTTCCTATGACATCAAAACTGGATTCGATTTTGAGAAAGCCTCCACTCGAACCTATGTAGAAGACTTTTTGCAAGCCAATCCACCTGATTTGTTGGTTGCCTCTCCCCCATGCACCGATGAGGGAGGTTGGTTCCACTTGAACTCGAGCAAGTGGTCGACGGCTGAGCGACTTCGTCGGATCCGCCGAAGCAGAATCTTCGTGAAGTTTTGCTGTAAGTTGATCAGAAATCAACTCAACCATGGTGGTCGTGTACTGCTGGAACACCCCTTAGGGTCCAAGATTTGGCAATATCCCGAAGTCAGAGAACTCCTCGATAAATGTCAAGTGATCAAATGCCATATGCGCCGATACGATCTTCGGGTTCCAGGGGATAAGAGATTGATTCGCAAAGCCACCAACTGCTCGTTGCAGGTGATGGTATGCTTGATCTAGCTAAGGAGTGCCCTGGGGAAAAACACGCACATCATCAGTGTCATCTTCCGGTAGCCGGCACTCATCCGTCGGTAGGTCAGGTCAGCACTTTTGCCGGTCAATATACTCCAGCTTTTGTTCAGGCGGTTCTGCGAACGCTGCCCAGCTACCGACAAGCCTCCGAGGGTTTGCAAGTGCCATGTGATGCCATCTCATCACAGGCCATCCAAGAAGTGATGATGGTCAAGGCCGATCTAAATCAGGGCACAGAAGCTGATATTAAGAAAGTGATTGATCGGGTCCATCGCAATCTTGGCCATCCGCCAACCGAGGATCTTGTGAGAGTGTTGAAGCATGCCCATGCCTCTGAACAAGCGATCAGTTTAGCGAGACAACATTCGTGTGATTTGTGCAAGGCCCAACAAAGACCTCATGTCCCGCTACCTTCCAAAGCCAGTCGACCGTCAGGGTTCAATCAAGTGATAGGCATCGATGTCAAGTATCTACAAGGTTGGCGTCCCAACCAGAAGGTGAAAGCACTCAACATAGTTTGTCATGGCAGCTGTTATCAACTGATGATTCCTTTCTTTGAACGAGAGACTTCAGAACTGATCCAACGGTTGCTGGCCATGCACTGGATTCGTGTGTTCGGACCACCTCAGGAAGTGGTCATGGATTCGGCCCAGACGAACTTAGGCGAGCCCTTGCAAAGATACCTGGAACATCTAGGTGTTTATGTTCGGCCTATTCCGGGAGAGGCTCATTGGCAATTAGGACGCGCAGAAACACATGGGGGCTGGTTTTCACGAGTGTTGGAAAAGACGATGCAGTCCAGAGTGCCCTCAACTCGAGAAGAATGGGAACAATGTGTGTTGCAGAGTCACGTCAAGAACTCCATGATCCAGTTCTATGGATACACGCCTCACCAATATGTGTTCGGCAAGAATCCCAAAATTCCTCAGGATTTGTTGGATGAACCCATAGGAGTTGTTCCTGCCACAGCCAGTCTCTCGGATGATGCCGTAGCTACAGCACAGGCGATTCGTTTCGCTGCCAGAAAGGCCGTCCTAGAGACACAAGACGATCAGGCCCTTCGTCGCGCTCTGGCGGCACGGCCGCGTAAGCACATCCAATTCGAACCAGGAGCATTGGTGGCCTACTGGAGAGCACAGAAATATACTCCTGAAGGGGTAATCCAAGGGGGCCGATGGTGGGGCACAGCTGTGGTGTTAGGGTCAGTAGGAAAGAATTACCTAGTGGTCCATAGGAAACAGATTTTTCGTGTAGCTCCTGAAGAGTTGAGACCAGCCACAAATGAAGAACAAGCACTAGTCAAGACACCACAGGCTGAGCTGCTAGGTATCCGTGACTTGATCGAAGGAGGTACTTTCCGTAGTAGTCAATACATAGATCTTGTTCCCGGAAGTTACCCAGCACAGTCCGATGCAGAGCATGTGACTGGAGTGCCTGAGAGCGATCAAGTCCAAGACTCTCCGATGCCGGCAGTGAAGTCCGCTGAACAGACCGAGGGTCATGATGAGGTATCGGAAGATCCCACTCTCATTGACAAGTCTCCCATGACGCCAGAACATGCAAAAGCCCATGAAGACCCCACTGATGTCATCATGCAGCACCCCTCATCTGCCAGTGGATCTTCGTCGAGCTCAGGTTTCAAGGCTAACCAGGAGTCTCAGGCCGGACCGACCTCGTCTCAGTATGGACCTATCAGACACCGAGTAGAAGGCAAATCACATGGAGCTGCCTTGTATCGACCATCTGCCATGAAGCACGAAGATTTCGTAGACATGATGCGAGAGGTAGTGCCTCGACTCTTGGATGCCGCATCAACCGGAGAGCATAAGCGCAGTCCATCCGAAGCCGAGCTGTCCACGGAGTCACAACCACCAGCTCAAAAGGCTAGATCAGAACCCAGTTCCGAAGTGTTGTCAGTCCAAGATGTAGGAGAACTGATGATCAGCTGGGATGATCCCACCGTAGAAATAGAAATCATGATTGCACAGTACATGGAAAAGAAGTTGTCCAAAGAGGTCCATCATAGTGGTCACCCACCTGATGTCCAAAAAGAAGTAGATGCGTCCAAAACTGTAGAATGGCAAACCCTGTTGGAGAAAGGCGTAGTCCGAATTCACTACGGTAAGAAGGCTCAAAAGATCAAAGAAGAACAAGCCGACCGATTCATGGGATCCCGATTTGTCATCATCCGGAAACCCAGTGAAGAGAATCAGCATATTGACTTGTCCAATCCAGCCACGTACAAAATCAAGAGCCGTTGGTGTTTGCAAGGACATCTCGATCCGGACTTAGATCAGAAAGCACAAGAAGGCCTCCTGCAGTCTCCGACGTTGAGCCAAATGGGTCGTATGCTGTTGATGCAATTGATAGCTTCACATCAGTGGATGCTCCAACTCGGAGATATCAAGGGTGCCTTTCTCGAAGCAGGTCCACTGAATCCCAAATATAGACCCCTATACGCCAAACAACCCCCTGGTGGCATCCCAGGTGTGCCGTCGGAGGCGGTCATCGAGGTATTAGGTAACGTCTATTGTCAAAATGATGCTCCATCGGCTTGGTACAAGACTTTCCATGAAGAGGCCCTTCGAATCGGTTGGGTTCGCTCCAAGTTCGATCCATGCCTGTACTACTTGAGAGATGTTGACACCCAAAAGCTGATTGGAGTCATGGGGGTTCATGTTGATGACACCTGTTTAGGAGGTACTGGTGAGGTGTTCGAGTCAGCGGTCAAGCAATTGCGTGCTCGGTTTCCGTATCGGAAATGGAGAATCTCTGAGGGCGAATTTTGTGGTAGCTACTACACACAAAACAAACAAGGGGAAATCAGCATGTCTCAGAAGTTGTTCGCAGAAAAGTTACGTCCTGCACAAATTCCCAAAGGAGCTGCTTGTGAGGATCCCTTGAGCGAATCACAGATTCGAGTTCTCAGAGCAATCAATGGTAGCCTTAATTGGCTAGCATCTCAGTCACGCCCAGACTTGGCGGTGCAGACCAGCTTGTCGCAACAAGCTTTTCCACGACCTACCATCCGACACCTCAGAGATGTGAACAATGCAGTGCGTCGAGCCAAACTCAATCGTGACCTCCAAATCCGCTTCAAAACCATTAGTCCTGATAGGTTGACAATATGCTGTCATTCTGATGCAGCCTTTGCGAATGTAGGCACCCATACTCAAGCTGGTTACATCCTTGCTTTCGTAGATCAAGACATGAATAAAGGTAAGCTTGGCCCATGGACCCCAGCTGTATGGCGTAGCTATCGTATGAGTAGAGCGGTAAGTTCAACATTAGCTGGAGAAAGTCAAGCAATGGCCACCGCTAGTGGGACAGTAGAATGGCTGAGCCTACTTTTGTGTGAGGCCTTAGATGGACATTTCGATCCACGCCAAGGCCGTGACCTGTTGGCCAAACGACCTCCTCTGTATGCAACGGATTGCAAATCTCTGTTCGACCACCTGATATCACCATCTTCACCCACAGCGGTGGAAGACCGTCGAACGAGTATCGACATCGTGATCATTCGAGAATCTCTGTTGTTGACAAATGGAGTGATTCGTTGGCTTCCAACAGATCGAATGTTTGCTGACGGTCTGACAAAGGACCGAGCGGATCCAGTTGATCTTCTAAGATCATGTGTGAGAGCTGGATCCTACCAGATTTCTCCAGAAGCTCATGTCCTCGAGCAACAAGCCGCGGAGAGAGAACTTCGCCGCCAAAAACGACAGCCTGAAGCTAAGGTCCCCGATAAATCAGTGACTAGCATCCAAACTCCCGAAGAATAGACTTGGCAAGACGACCTTCGGTTCCTTGGGTCTACACACTTTTTGAAAACGAATGTCAGGGAATCATTGTTTTCGTGTGTGCAGGTTTTGAAGTCGTGTGCTTAAAAGAGTCATAGTCAGTCACTGTGTTTGCATGGTTTTTGTATGCAAGTCATCTGCCGAAGCAGTTTTTTGACCTAGTCAAGGTCTTGTGAAACAATAAGATCTTGCTTGTGATCCGTGCTCCGGAGCCCCTTTTTGTGTGATGGAATGGAATGCCAAAGATCAGAAGCAGCTAGAGGAGCTGCTACGCAAAGCTCACAGCCAGGGTCTCTCCCTGTCTCAGCTAGGACTCCCTCAGATTTGTGCCACATCCTCCGAGTTCGACAGTGAATTTTCCTTTGTTGAGCCTACTGGAGGAACGATGGCCGACAGCTGCAAGCGCCGAGATGAGGGCACCGATGAGAATCCGTTCACCAAGAAGAGTGCCTTGAGTCTAGATGCACTGGACTCAGTTGAAGGAGGTGGATACACCTTCAAGTCGCTGGAAAAAGAGTTCGGGTCATCTCCTCTGACCCATCGTGAGGTGGTTAACACCATGGATAGCACAGAGCTCCCATCGCTCCCAGCGGGAGTTCCGGACGTGGCCACCTGGGGAAAGACACTGATTAAGTTCGGTCAGTTTGGCAAGCAGAACATGACCTACTATGAGCTCGCTTCCAGTTCAGAAAGCCGCTGTCAGGGTTACACCGAATGGTGTAAGGATCATGGAAAAGGTGCCAAGGGACATCTCCGCGACCTCGTGGACTATTTGAGCCATTATGATGCTGCTCACGGAGTGTCTCAAGCCCCGATCATCCCAGGCACTTCCATGAAGAGAGAGTTCAAGGCATGAGATGACGGTTGATTGAGACGGCTGGATAAACACTGGAAGAGAAAGAAAAGATTGGAAAGATTATAACCAGTGTTGACTTTGCACAGGAGCTCCATTCGTGTCTCGCAGGGACCATCGTTGCCTCAAGCGGTGAAAAGGATGCGCCCGGTTGTCTTGGATAGGATTCCAGCTACCTCTGTTGAATCAACATATATATATATAATAGTCTCTGGTGACTCTGGTGGTAGGCAAGAGCGAAGGCGTCAAGAAACGGGGCTCCTTGTTTAACCGAAGCTGAGATCCAAAACTAAGGAGAACTCAGTTTTTAGAGCACATATTGTCGAGGGGTATAGCTAGATTTTAGGAAATCGTAGAAGCTGTGTGAATGAAGAGGTGATGGTCTCATTTTTTGTTAAATCGACGAACATAGTCACAAATACCAGGTTTGATTGGGAAGCGCGTGCACGAACTTATGCCAGATTTGATGGCAGCAAACACCCAAGAAAGTTTCGTCAAAATTGCTCTGCAAACACATCCACATATTGGCCTTGATTCATGCGCGCCAGAACATATGGCGCGAACTACAAACACAACAATACTACAACAATCAACGCAAGAAAAGCTAGAACCACAGTCCCGAAAAGCATAAAAGGAGAAGACAACTGACAACTATAACAGTCGTAGCCATTGCAATCCCACGCAACTTCCCACCATCACAACAATGCGCAATGACAAACTTGCCATCACCTGCAGTTATCACCACAATGCACAAGGACAACCTCTCCCATCATCCGCGGAGCCTTTGTTATATAAATCTGTTGATCTTTTTGGATCTCAAGGTAGACCTCTAGATCTCTCCAAATCTCTGGGCGTTTTATCTTTCTAGACCTTGGATGCTTGGTAGACGAGAGGCACTGAAAGAGTCACACTTTAGTAAAGACTGAGATCTCTCTGGATCTCAAGACATTCTTTTCTGGATATGAAGACCTCTAGACCTCTGGATCTCTAAACTTCTACATCTCTAGATTCCTCTGGGGCCCAGTACCTTCTGCTTCTACACCTCTAGACCTTAGACTTAGACCTCCAGACCTCAAACACTGCTTGGGGTCTCTAGCTGGGATAAAGAGTCCCGTGTTCCCCTCCTTTCCCTTTTTGGGCTGCTGACCTGTATCTCTGTCTATTCCCTAAACAGGGGGAGCCAGGCCTGGCGCCAGGAGATTGCATGACAAAGGGCACTCCAAGGGAAAGGACAACAGGACTTTAGAACAAAGAGACTTTAACATATGAATTATGAGGTTTCTAGGTGTTTCCTGGGGTATCCTGACGCATTTATAGTCCGTGACTGGGGTGGATTTGGACACAAGTCGCACAGACTGGTCACTTGACTCGTTTGGAGACTCTGAGCAACCAGGTCTCTGCTATCTGCTTGGGGTGCTGTGCTCTGCGCCTGGCCAACTGAGCTTCCAAATCTCGGAGTCTGCCTTGCAAATCCTGAGGTTGCAAAGACTGGAATCGATGAAGGCTTGTTGTGAAGTGCGAATTGATTACTGGGCCACCCTCCCGAGGCAAGGTGAAAGCCAAAGAGAAAAACACTAGCTAGAAACGGCTCAGACGGTCCTGATGCATGGACAAGTCTACAGGCCAAGAAGCGGCTAAATCACTCTCCTTCTCGCTAAGCACATCCGTCTTCTCAGCTATTGCCTTCAGCGAACTTTCCAGGAAGTTTCGGATTTGGGATTCCTTGAATAAGTTTGTCAAGAAATACAGCGGCTGTTTACGACCCTTCGCCATTCAAAAAAGGCGCTTCATGCCCCTTGCGGATTGCAAGCGAGTTTCAAGCTCATTGCGACGAGCTGTGTCGGCCAGGGCATCCTGCAGCATATCCTATGCCTATGCAAATGGATCTACCAAAAATTCCAAAACAGGCCAGAGCGAGTCTGGCAGGAAGTGGATCAAGAGACGGACCCCTTGCAAATCCTGGCAAGGGCACCCTGAATTCTTGGTCCCCCCGATGCTTCAAAAGGCCCTGCAAGTTCCAGTTTGCTAAATGCCGCATCCTGCAAACATTCACATGGACAACAGCATTGCATGGAAACAAATGTTCCTGGTACACTGGAGATCATTGGGGTATGTCTACACATGAGGTTCTTATGTTCTTATAGATTCTTGCTAGGTGCCCGCGTCAAGTCACCTTTATCCATAAAAAGTCCTCACTCATACAAAGTTGCCCCAAAGATCTTGAAATGCAGCAATCTTCCTCTAGATATCAAACCAACACTTGTGCTAAGCACTAAGCATGCCAACACAAACTGCATACTATGTGTCTGCTGAGGTGGAAACATCATGAGCACATCCTTTACCAGCTTCATTGGTTGACAAACTTCGCTTATGTTACACTTCCGTCAATCTTGCGGAACACATCTGATTCATTCCACCTCCAGTTCAAGCGCCAAACACCACAGGCACAGGATTGCGCACACGCCAAACCGCATAAGAACACTGCGAAGAAAGGCCTTTTGACCCGACCCAACCCAACCACCACGCATTCTTTCAAACAAATCCGATGCAAACAAGTCCTTGACGCTCTCCAGGTATTTTCGTCGTTGTAAAAGTGTGGCCTCCACTGCGGCCACTTTCTGCTCCGTCTGCTTAGCTGATTTCATAATCCTTGATCTTGGGTGTCACTCTGTCAAAGCACGTGGAAACAAAATCTTGTTCAGTTTCCTACCCTCAAACTTCAAACGCGATTCAAACATTCTTCAGCTGACCTGCTTGCTACGTCTTGGACGCAATAATCAATAATTCAAAATATAGTAAAATCGCGCTGTTCTTTTTGTATAATCGTTTTTTGAATCCTATGAGTTCCGCATTTGGCCATGACTGAGCCACCCCAATCGCAGCTGCCGCAATTCTTCGGCAGCAATTCCCTGCGCACTTACCCGCAGGAAGACTTCGGCTGAGTCCTGGCCAAAAAGGCTCTGTACAACCAAACATAATAGCGCTGTGGAAGTCTCAACATGCTGAAACTACGAAATTCCAGGAATTCAACTGTACAGTCCGGAGTCCTTGGCAGCTTGTGATTTGTGCTTTTTGAGTGTCACCTCCTCATGTAGAAGCCCTTGAATCTGTTTTCGAAGTGCCCGCGGCTCCTTGTGATCTCGCAACTCATCAATTGAACGCTTCTGCACAGTCTGACATGACTCGTCAACTTGCATAAAATGCATATACCACATCCTCACTTCTCCACGCTTGTCCTTGTTGTGCACAAGATGCTTATTTCTTGCACAAACCGCCGCGACTCTGGACAGGTTACGATGAGACAGCCTGCCATGACAACTCCGATTTCAACTTGACACCAAGAATGGACACCTTTTAGCGAATGTCCAAATGTCTTGTATTTGTTGTGCGCAAGCTCCCTAGTGCCCCAGTGTCTGTTCAAACGCCTGCTGCTTTCGAGCTGCAAGTGCTGGATGTGCTGCAACGCCTGCGGTAAA